ATTTCCCATTAACGCGGCTGTGAACTGATGAGATACGGTTTCAATTACGTACATCTGTGAAGTGGTTAAGTAGTTTTACCGGGCAAGAGTTCGATGATTTTAGTGAGGTACTTTTAAATTATTGAGATAAAAACCTGCCATTTGATTTATCACTGATTTATTTTAGAAGTACTATACATATCTTGATTCGACAAAGGTTATCTCTAATTGTCTTATTTGACGTTTTTAAAACGGGGGAAAAGCGTATTTTTTTGCTAATCTACACAATAATTGTGCTTCGGTGAGATATTATCTGTATCACTAACTGATATGATCTATACTTCACTCACTGAATATGACCTTGTTCCGGTTTTTTTTTCCATCTAAAGGTTAATTTGTTTGCTTTTCTTACCAAACAATTCTTTATACATTGTTATCCTGTTTTTCAAATTCATTCATGAATATTCATGTAATTAACATCGGTATCTTTTATATGCTAATGAAGAAATGCTGCGTTCGTCGTGTAATTTTATAAATAACAAGTCTATAAATGATTAAAAAGGGAAAGTATAACATTTCAGAAACCATTAGCGCTATCTTCAGATTAAAACTAGTAGGCGCCATGTTTTCTCTATGTAGCAAATGTCAAAATTCGCAAGGACAAAGTCCCTCAACAATAGGATGTGGCCAACAATATTCAAGGACATTTCATTCGCAGGATGGACGCTTCTTTGCAGAGTTCGGCCTCCGATGAATATTTCTGTTGAAGGGATAGCCGTTCTGTTGACCTTTTGTTTCTATAACAGAATATTCTCAACCAAAGGCGAGCCGCAAAAATTGTTCTGACCTACTGACCATGGAATGAAGAAAAATGGGAGGAATAGCATATTGCCTTATCGTCTGCGCCGTCACATGTTGTGATCTAAATTTTTCTCGTCGTTTGAACAAAGTAGTCCACCTGCAATTGTAGGTGTGAGAAAGAAAGCAGACGAATTAAAGGGAGTGACAATTAGTATGAGATTTGATTTTTGTTTCTTGACATTGCGGCGATTTGACCCAGTTTTGAGACACGAAATCCCAATTAGAAAACTTTTTGGTACCGAATATTTTCAAAGGTCCTTCCGACTGCAAAAATAGTTCCAACATTACATTTCAATAATGGAATAATCCCTGCAAAGAATTATATGCAAATTCAACTGAAAGTAAAATAAAAGATGAAGAAAAAAATCGATTGATAGGAATCTACAAAGTAACCGATTTTAAACAAAAAGGAGTATATATTGCTGAAAAGTACGGAAGAGCATTAGTGCCAAGTGTGTATTTTTTATTAACTCGAAATTTCGAGTTAGTAACTCGAAATTTCGACTTACTTACTCGAAATTTCGACATACTAACTCGAAATTTCGACTTATTAACTCGAAATTTCGACTTATTTACTCGAAATTTCGACTTAGTAACTCGAAATTTCGACTTAGTAACTCGAAATTTCGACTTAGTTACATTACTAGAATGGCCAAAGTTATGAGTTACCAAGAGTTTAGATAATATAAGATATAGTAGGGAGTGCGGTTGAACGATGGAGATGGAGAAACGGGTGCCTGGACAAACTATTAAAGTTAACTATTCTTAAACTTATTAGTGTGGTCACTTTTGACAATGGCATGTACACGCCCGACCTAAAAAACACAAGGCTTCCTTTAATTTGTACGTTCAGGCGTTCTTCAGACGTTGTATTGTATCCCACCTGTTCGAACATATCTTTTCACTAATCATATTCTTCTCATCCCTGTGAATAAAACGATCCTATACTTCACGTGTGGGACATCTGAGGAAAGTACCGCGGAGTGGCCAAAATAGGGCGTGCTGAGGCCTATGTCAAATTTGTTGGACTGACTATATTTCTGGTAAAATCGGATGCTTTAATATTATTCCCGACATGTATATAACAACAACTTCCACTTTTATCAACTTTTATCAACACAATATGAATCAAAGTCTTAGTAAATAAATGAATAAAGAATATTGACAAACATCTTTTAAAAAATGTTACAATTATAAAGAAACGTGACAGACTAACTGGCGTATACACGCCATTTAAAACTTAGTTAACACATGAATGTTGCACAGTTTACAATAGGGTGGTGTATCTCCACATGATGGTTGTATGTATGCTTTAGACACAATAAACAACACGGAAATGTGGAAAGTGTGATTTCCCCCCCCCCCCCCCCACACACACACACACACACACAAAAAGCAATCAAGAAAATGGGAAGGATATGTTCGGTATGAGTGGACAATTTGACCCTGTTAAATTTGTAGGTGCTCTGTCAATGTGCAACAGCTACACATGAAAGAAAGTATCTTGAATTTCACCGGCAACCAATGTAAGTCGAAATTACGAGATAAGTAAGTCGAAAGGATTTATCTAGGATGAAAAAAAATCTTCATACTTCAGTAATATTAACTATTAGTTATGTATCAATGATTTAATGTTGTTGCCGATGTAAAAAGAAAATGCAATTAAGTTTTCAATTATAATCACAATTTAAGGTGCGTTTAGTTTTTCTTTTGAAGCACGTGATATAGCCTAGATTTAAGGTTAGGATAACACAGCCCTGTGGGTGATCAAATAAGTTCTACTTGTATATACATGTATTTACTTACCACTGAACTTCACTTATCAGATAACCTGGTGTTAAAGGGTACGAAAAATGACTGATTTCAGCAACATTGTTGACATTTAAAATATGCTTGTCATTAAAGGCACATTATGCCTCAGAAACAAAGTTTGTTTGTTTTTTTTTTTACTTTTTTAGAGGGGGAAAACATGAATTATATTATGTTTAAATAATGGCGTTTGAAAATCTTAGATGCTTGTTTCCTAAAGGAAGTAACAGATGAATGTGAAGTTAATTTTCTTTAAAGTAGCAAAATGTGAACAAATTAGTCTTTTGACTTCCATACAGAATACTAATGCACTATAACAACATACTTATTTTCAAGAAACAACAGATAAAAAAGATGGTTAAGGTAATTGGCCGACGAATAACTTTTTGGATACTAGATCTATAACAGAACACAAAAATTAAAAACAAATTTTGAGAAATAAATATAAAAAAACATTAAAAAAAAAACATTTCTGAGGCATAGTGGGCCTTTAACATCAATGCTGTAAATGCAAATACGACTAAATTTAGTTCACAAATTATGCGACTAAAAATTTCAAAAATTTTATAATATGGACAATTAGACCTTCCAAGTCAGTCTACGTTTTCATTTAATTGTTGGTGTGCACCGAGCCGCAGAGTTATTGTAAGACTTTTGCAGACGATATTGTGCATTGGTTATTATTAATGCAGATCTTGAGTAGAATAAAATAGGTCCTTATTTTGGTTGAGAAGACTTAAATGAACAATTGCGTGAAATTAAATATTACGTCCAGTTAAATTTGCGACTGACTTCATACATGACATACATGAGCCCTAAATAAAAAGTCTTAAGTACGTTACATTTGTAATCAAGTATAGAACTCGGTGAACCCTGCCTGATATTTTTTTCTAACTAGATCTGTATATTTACAAAGTAATGTTTATAAACAAACGGTTGTTATCAAGGTTTGACTAGCGATAGGGAAGTTTACCTGGTGAACTATAAAATCTAGGTGATCCCATAAGGTCAATCGTACCTTTATCTTTTTTAAATAGTTCTTAATAGGATGGGTTTATTTGAAGACTATATGGATGATACTCGAGAGGACTTATTATGTACAGTACGGTATCACTTAAAAATGTGACGAACGTCACACAAGGGTGGTGACGTCACGTGCGCTCTATATACCTAATAAATTTGCCTACTTGAGCTTAGAGAAGTCAAAGTTTGAAAAGATTTACAATGGCTTCTTTTTCGGTATCCTTTCGACAACTTGTAGATGAAAGATTTTGTTAAAATCACTTGTTCAGTCAGACACTGGCTACAAAGTATCGAGCAAAATTTTCCCGGTCAACAACGCCGACTCACCAACTGATAAAGCCAGTAAGTCCAAGATCCAGACAGTATGTGGAAAATCGCGAGTTGTTTCAATGTTTAACGCTCACAGTTGAATCAGTGTTCCTTAATGACCAAAATATATGACAGCACACTTTGAGCGATATTTACGGCCGCCACCTAACAATTTAAAAATAGTAACCCGTTTTTTTTCTTTTTCGTATATTCCGTGTTAATTAATCATATTAATTACTGTTTATTACTTATTGCTCTTAACTTGCCTTTTTCAATAGAAATAAATGTAACCTTAGAGAACGCCCATGGACAATTTTACTTGATAATTTCAGGAACTCAGAACATAAGTAATGGTTATTTTATCGCATATTTGAATACCGGCAAATGACCGCCGCCATGAAAAACCCTGTAAAATAACTTTAATGCCATGGGCGTATGAAACGCACGTTATTGTTTAGGGTATCCCCTTAATGTCTTCCCATGTGCAGTTACATTAATATTTATGACAAAAATTTAAATTATAATGCGGATAGTATGGCGGATTTTTTTTATATTATTACACGATCGTTTAAAATTTAAATATATCGTCAATGTTCATGGAAAGTTATTTGACCAAGGAAATTATGTTCAACTAAAATAGTCCTGACCGGTAAATCATACAAAGATATCTAGTAGGCGTGGAAACTGAAGCACCACATTTGATTACTCCGTCCGAAGTTTTTCTTTTATAATTTACCAGGGACTTTCAATTGAAAAGACCCAAAATTTACTAGATTCTAATTTTTTTTATCTAAAATGGGAAGAAAATTGATTAGCGATTATTTTTGTCAGTTTTAAGGAGAATTCATGATGAAGACTCATACAGTAGATCTACTATCATATCATTAGTTAAAAGTCGTACGCGACTTTACTGCAGCAGACGATATTTTATGAAAAAATTCAACGTCACACGATTACGCGCACTTGTTTATTGATAATGAATAAAGTCAAAGGGAAGCAACTGCGATAGGGATACAAAGAGGCAATTAACCTTGACCTTTATGTTTAATTTGCAAATGGCCGACATTTTGAAGAAGACCATACATAGTTTGTTTCCAAAATCAACAAAATGTGAATAATTTAAATTATCTTTATCAATTATTTTTATTCAAGTAAGTTTTAATGTTGCAGATGTGTTTAAATGAGCTAGTAATAATATGCGAAAGAGTGTGCAATCGCTGGCGATGTTAAGTTTCTTTTCGAATAGGAAATAAAAATTTGCGAGCCAAATCAAGAAAATTTATTTCAAATTTCAATAGATTTACTTGAGCATTTATTAAGCCAAGAACATACACATACATTTTATCGGGTAAAATGTCTGATATTATTTTAGCCATATCTGTAATTAACGGACTTGATGGAAGCTGTATTTTGTAGTTGATGTTTTTTGTTTATCAGATACAAACCATAGTATAAACATAAAGTCAGTTTCATGTATATAATTTGAAATGGAATATATCAAATTTGACATTCTATAGTCTTATATTCAATTGGTTATAGTCTGACTCTATTAATTGAAAACAATATAGTGGATCTATACTTTGAGGAATTTTAAAGGAACTCCACTGAGGTTTATAAGCCTAAAACATGACATTATAATTTTTCGCATAGATAAACATGAGCACTTTAAACTGAAATATAAATAAAATATAACTAAGAAATACACAAGAAATACATTGAAAATCATATGTTTGTGCTATTCTCAGTCCGATTTGAGTGAAAAGCGTTTATTGGGTCATTTTTCACAATTATAATAATTATTCTGGAAAAACGGAGCGAGCTAATGATCTCAAATTTTACATGTAAGTTATTAGTATAGACCTACATCAAATGGAGTAATAAATCTCAAACAAATATTTCCAGTCCCGTCATGTCAAAAAACCTCAGTGGAGTCCCTTTAAAGGAACTCCACTGGAAAAACATTTGAATTTTTTACATAGATCAAGTGAGTAACATAGAAACATATGCAAATATAGATCTACTACGAAATTAATTAAAAATCCTATTTTTATGCTTTAAGTAGCCCCTTTTTGAGTGAAAAGCTTTTCAATTTGTGTCATTATTCATGATAAAAATAATTTTTCTAAAAAAAAAAAATTTTCTAAAAAAAAACAACAACAAAACTCAAAGAAAAAAAAATAAGAGGGAGCGATTGATCTCAGATTTGAACATTATTTGGACATACATAAAATGGAACTATTAAATCTTGAAAAATTATTTCCAGTCCCTTCGTGTCTAAAACACTTCAGTCAGGGGTCCCGTTAATATTTTTCAGTTGTCATTTTAATGTGTACTTACAGCTGTATATGTTATATAGTTCCAAGTCACATATTTATTAAATTGTACAGTACCGTAATAACATATTCAAAATCATGCACACAAAAAACATTGAATTATAGTGTATAAAAATTTCCGTTACTTTGATTTTGTTGGAAGCTATAAACTTTCTGAAACACCCTCAAAGTCGTTCCTGTAAGCAAGCTGAGTACCAAGCAATGAGTGTAAAATTTCTTGCTCAAGGAAACAACAAATTGCCCCCAACAGGGTTTGAACCTCACTCCGCACACCCAGCAATTCTTAGATACTAGTAACTAGTCCTACATGATACCCAATCAGTCACATAGCCTTGTGATTGAAATAACAGTGCTTTAATTCAAATAGCATTGCAATGCACATAATTATGTGAGTATGAACAGGCACTGACTGGTGAACATGGCTCGATGAATTGAGCCAAGCTTTAACTGATGCTGTCTCAAGGTCCCTCTCAGGCTCTGCCTGGCCAATTTGTTGATATCCAGTGCTTTTTTAAGGGAATATGTAAATCCAAAAGATGTTTAAATCATTTGTTGGAATTAGGAAAATATAAAAAAAGCTTATTAAATTATGTCTCATCAATGAATGCCTGTATCTTATTATTTTAAGCTATTGACAATATTTGTCAATGACTGGAATTGTGAATTTTTATTAAAAGATAGTCATCATACTTATGGCTTTGTGAATGGAGCCCTACTTTGTTAGGAACAGCATTATAATGATAAAAAACACTGTAATATTTAAAGTTTATTTATACAATGTTTTATGTAACTTAATTAATTCCCAGTTAAGTCAAAGAAATAGCCTAAAATGACATGAATTGATACTTTCTGAAGGAAAATTTACATACTTTTTAGTTATTAAAAGAGAAATGAAATGATCATGTAATAAAGAAATAATATGAGCCGCATCACGACAAAACCAACATAATGAGTTTGCAACCAGTATGGATCCAGACCAGCCTGCGCGTCCGCGCAGTCTGATCAGGAACCATGCTGTTCGCTATCAGTTTCTTTACTTGTTATAGGGTCTGTAAGCAAACAGCATGGATCCTGATCAGACTGAGCGGATGCGCAGGCAGGTCTGGATCCATGCTGGTTGCAAACACATTATGTTGGTTTTGTCGTGACACGGCTCATATGAATAAAAAATGGTTTACTAGTTACTTAGAATAATGAAGCTTGTCTATTTTACTCTTCAGGTACTAGGCCAGGTACAACTTTAAATGAGGAGAGAAATTGTAACTTGTGAAGAAAAAATAAAACAATGTCCAAGTAAGATTTAAATTCTAATTAAATATTGTCACAAGTGGCTTTCCATATTAATTCTAGAGATGTTTTTTGTTGTTCTTTTTTGCTTCACTTTGAAAGAGAAAAGTTTTTTTTGTATCTTTATTTTGAAAATATACCTTTACTGGAGAGGCATTGATATAAGTATTGGTTTACCTTTTTTCTGGGATAAATGATGTCATTTTAAGCCCAGCTTGCTTTCCAATTCAGTCTGAATTTCTTTGTTGTGAAACATTTGTAAATGTTTATATTTAGTTTAAACATATAATTATTTATTAAAGCTTGATTGCGAAACAAGTTCTTGCAACTTATATTAATCACTTTCAAGTCTGCTTCCTGGAACCAATCAATACTGTCATGTCATATGAAGAAACATGGTTGTGACCGAAGTACTGGGCTCAAACCCTTGTTCCCTGGGTTGAGAGGCAGAGTAAATCACCCTAACCCTGTTGTTTATGCGCAATTCATTGAATAAAAAGAGTGGAGCTATTGTCATCGATCCTCTTCTCTATGTTGACCTCAGCATTGGTTAACTTTTTCGTTAAGGTCCATTTTCTCAAAAATAATATATATAACAACTATTCACTTCAAACTTGGTAAACAACTGTTATTTGTCATGAAATGGCATCATTTCAAAGTAACAGAATATCCAAAATTTTTTGATGTATACTTTATGCACAGTTTTTAAACAAGAATTATGTTTATTTCAAATATATCAGTAATTATGACAGCTTCAATAATTATTTGTATCTCACTTTTAGAAAAGTTTTGATAATTCACGACCAAATTTAATGATAATAAAAAACCAAAATGTATATCTATTTTCAGTAATAATAATACTCAAGGTGGGACTAGACTGTCACAGATGGAGTATGGCAGCATGGAAAATGTGCCTGGTACCTCACCTCACATCTATCAGTACAACCAGCAATCTCTGCTGAGAACCAGCCTTGCAGGAAGTAGCAATCCACCACAATCTTCAATTGTCAGAATTCCAAATAAAAGTGGTACACCACAAAGTAGTTCGCTGTCAAAGTCACCAGGTTTGACCCTTTTACCAAGAGAGCTTATCAATATAAAAGGTGGAGAAACTGGGAACCAGTATATTAGTTTACCACTTAGACTTGAAAATATTGCTGGTAGTGTTCAGCTAGTACCTGATAAAAGTAAAATACCTGGTGACCGGCGATCCCTAATACCCGTCATAGTTTCTGGCAATGAAATTTATCAAATTCAAGGAGAAGGGAACCAGAAAAATCTTGTGCTGTTTACAAATTCACAAGCGGGACATACCTTACCTTTGACAGGAAGTCAAAATGTAAATTTAGGCAGCTTACTTTCAACCTCAAAAGCAGAAGGTTTACAAATGCAGGTTCCTAAATCACAGACTGGTTTTCAAGAAATCCAGAATGTAACCAGTAATCTGAACTCTGGAAACAGTACCAGTCAAATTATGACTGGTTCTGTGTTTTCATTTTCAAAAGAGAAAAGTTCAAGGTCAGTTGCGAGTCCAGTCTATAAATCTAAACTAGAAAAGGCTATGGCGCAAAACTTGTTAATGCAAAGTTCCGCAAAAAGTTCTGGCAACAAGACACCCACAATGCAGTCTGTTGCACAAAAATCTATACCAGATGTACTACAGTCCTCAGTATCCGAGAAAACCAATTTAAGTGCCAGTAAAGTCAGTCTTTCAGCTAGGGGACCAATACCCCAGGAACCTGTGCCACAATATGTTATTACCGAAGACAATTTAACGCTCAAATCAACACAGAAAGTCTCCAAAGTTGCGGAATATTACAAAAATTTTGTGGCGGGAAAAGGGAACCAGCAGCAAGACAGACCCGTGTACTATCAAGAGTCTCCGTTAAAAGCAAGACTGGTTCCCCAGTATTCCATTGTTCAGGATGATTTCCACACCAACCCAAAAATAATGGACACATTCAACATGGTCGACGGGAATGCTGTAGGTCACATGGACGTAGAAGCTGTAAATAATCAGGAACTTTGTCACATGACCGTACCAATGGAACTCCAAGACACAGCAATTAGGGAAAAGACATATGAAGATTTTTATATGGCGAAGAGTATACTGGAAAAGTTATGGAAATTGAGGCAAGATGGGATGTTCTGTGATGCCGTGCTCTATGCTGGATCTGATGAAATCAGGGTAAATGATTTTAAAGTCCCATAATGCCCCAGAAATGCTTTTATTGTTATTTTAAATTTTGGTGTACTTTCATAGTATCCAAAAAGTTACTCATTTGCCAATTACCGGAACCATCTTTTTCATGCGTTGCTTTTTTGGCTATAAGTACAGTTATAGCGAATCATTATTTTGTATGGAAGTCAAAATACTACTTTGTTTAGATTTTGCTCTTATTAAGACAAATTATTCCAAATTCACCGCTACTTTCTTCAGATAACAAGCATATCTCACATTTCTGTAAAACCATTATATAAACATTACAGAATATAGCTTTGCCCTTTCTAAAGAAGTAAAAATTTATTTGTTCCTGAGGCACAATGTGCCTTTAATAGCTCAGTTATATTTTCCCATCCATGATAACAAAGTTGCTCATTTTGGAATGTCAAATTCTTGATAATTCTATTTTTGTTCAAACATTAAAATTTTTTCATATTACATATTTCTGTTTTATTAAAAGGATAAATTATACATGTTTAATATTGAATAATAATAATGAAGAAAATGAAGAAATCCCTGATACAACTTTTTAATTTTCACAAAATTCTTTAGGCATGGTCACATCTAGCATAGAAATTTTGGCTGTTGTTTATATTAAAAAATACTCTCCTTTGTAATTGTTTATTTATTTTCAAGAAATAAAACTTGATTTTTGAGAATTTAGACAAATCAAATAAATTTTCTAATTTTCTTAGATTTGTTGAAAAGTTTGATCATCATGTTTTTTTTAAGATTTAATTGAACAATGCATTTCTAAGAACATGTACATTTTTCACTGTAAAGCATCACTGAACATTTAAAAGTAGTATAAATGTATATTTTTGATAAAACTGATTTTTTCGAAACTTCACAGCTGCACAAAGTGGTTCTGATTGGTGTAAGCCCTGCGATTCAGGAACAAGTCACAAAAACGTCGGGAAACGAGCTTCAACTTGTGTTGCCTAGCGACATGCTGCTAGAAAATGTCATGACCCTTCTCTACTATATTTACAACGGGCTGATAAAACTTACTCTCAGTAATGTTCAGCAGATATACAGGTGAGAAAATAAATAAATTAAAAAGAAATATTTTAATAATTAAATGTACAACATTTTGTAATTCCACTTTGAAGAACTCTTTAAAGTGTCTGAGTTCAATTCCAGGTTTTGTATTATGAAACTTAATGCAAGTGTTTTTTTTACTAATTACTGAGGCTTCATTTGGTAATGGCAATGGCAAAAATAAAATGATGCAAATTGCAGACCTGGTTGAGCCTGTTCATTAGAGATACTTATGAAAGGTGCAATATGTCCCCTATCAATGGCTTGAATGGTACTAAAAGTAATGGAATATAACCTTTAACCTCTCAGATGAATTATAGGGTAACTTTTTACAGCTGCCACACAGCACTTGTAAAACTGTCTTGAGTGCACTTCTTGTACTAATCAGTGTACAAGGGTATAAAGACATTTTCCAAGCTCAGACTCTGATTTAGGTATTTGATTGGTCAGAAAATGACACAGAATCTGTACTGACCAATGAAAATCCTTAAATCCAAGATGTTGATATAGATCTCGGTAAAACCATTATTAAACTCAAAGCCGAGGTGATATTAGGAAACCGAAACATAAAATTGGCTACAGTAGGGCTCAAACCAATGGTTTCTTTGTTGAGAAGTTGCCATGGTTACGACCTTTATAGTGTCAACTGAAATTAAATGTTTGTAGCAAACAAGTAAAATCATTGGGTGTTAATTTTTTCAGATTGTCGGGTATTTTTGGACTGACACAACTCAGTAAACATTGCTATGATTTTTGTAAGGTAGCTAAGATGGGACATCTCATTATTGGCAGTCCATATCAGGAAGCGGCAAAACAAATACAAAAGGTAAGTTTTAATATTATCCAATAGTTGTGTGGTAATGGTTGCTGAATTGGTTACCTCTAGCAAGTTTTATGGGCATAATTGTATATTATTTTATGTGAAGAATATATCCAACTTCCGATTAAATAAGAGATGGTTTTACTCAGAATTGAGTCTGAACTATATGATATATATATTATAGAGTGGTACTAGTGGTGTTTCTATATCAGAAAAACTATAATGAGCCAGTTTGAGACAGTGTCAATGTGACTAGGACCTTGATTCCCCTAAGAAAGCTATGACAGCTTATGAGTGTCCACTCACAACCTGTTAAGTTTATACAAATTTATTTTTAATTTGATTGGAAGCTATAAGCTTATTGAAACACTCTTGAATCTGTTTCTGGAATAAACCAGAAATAAGCAATAATTGTAAAGTTTCTTGCTCAAAGAAACAACGGCTTTCTCCTGACAGGGTTTGAACCCACACGGTCAACAATCCTTAGATGTACAGTCCAGCAAGTTAACCACTCAGCCATGCCACCATCAGCCTGTTAAGAATTGCTGGTTGTATTTCTATTTTGATTTTAAAAGCATAATAAATGTAAGTTGAGAAACTAAAATGAAAAATGCTGCTCTCTAAGAATCTTATGGTAGAATAGGAGAGGTGACCAAGTCGAAAGGTGTCTGCCTCTCAAACCACATGACCATGTGTTTTCATGAAGTCAGAAATGATTAGTCCAAAATATTGGTATCAAAAATTTTTTAAATGATTTTCAAGCTCATCTCACTGTTGAACTAAACAATATTATGTAATTATGTTTAAATTAAAGTGAATTATTGAAAATCATGTTTCATTACAGGAAGTAGTAACCACAGAAGCATTGCCAGTCACTGCACCAGTGGAGAGATCTGTAGTGCATACCACAGTCACAACATCCACCTTACTCTCTTCACCAAAGTTGTCAACAAGAACCAAGACTCCTGTAAAGAATGAAAATCAGGACAACTTCGAAACAATCAGCTCTGAAATAGACTGGATGACAATGGACCCATCTCAGAGCAATATCCCAATAAGAAAAAGGGGTAGAAATCGTAAAACTACACAAAACAATCAAATGAAACCCACGGAAAATGATCATGCAATGAACAGAACTGATCAGGAGATAGTAGAAAATGTCCAAGCAGTCAATACTGACAATAGTGTATCTGAAACTCTAGAGACTGGTATAGACAATAGGAATGCTCATCCTAAAAAGAATGAAGTGAGCCGGTTTGAACTCAGTCAGGCTATTGCTGAATATGAACTGTACATTGCCAATGAAAATAGTGCAAAGGATATTGAGGAGAGAAATGTTAACACTAGTTTAGATACAGAAGCGAATGTAAAACAAACAGAACTGATTGAAGACATCGTAGACCATCTTGAGGCTTTACCAGATCCTCTGGTGTCTGGTAAACTTGATGAAAATGAATTGTTGAAGTTAAAAGAGACAGAAGAGAAGGCAGACAAGTATGGTGTGGAAAGAGGAATAGATATAACACAGACCCCACATAAACCTGAGACTAGAAGGTTTCGTACAAGGGCAAATATGAGTGTGGTGGAGGCTGCCTCACAAATGAAGGCCAAGTCAAATGCAATGACCACAATATCTACTGCAAAGAATAGGAGAAAGAAAGGACAAAAAAGATCTCCAACAGTTCTTAATACTGATAAAAAGATCGGTTCAGAAATTAAAAGGTTGTTGACGAATCCTGCAAAAAAGTGTAAAAGAAATGGAGCTAGTTAATGAAAAAGAGACAGGAGTAGCGAAAACAGGTTTGGAACCTGAAAAGAATGTACCTAAAAAGTATGAAGTAACACCAAAAAAGACAAATGAAACTAAAGAAATGGGGGATAAAGAAAACAACAACAAAGATATAGAAACATTGAAGAAAGTGGTTGAAGATTTAACAGGAAAACCAGGAACAGAAGGAGGTGATGAAACCCCTAATGAACCATCTGATATATATCCTTCAGCTCCAAAGAAGGCAAAGTTCAGGTAATGAAATGATCTCTTACGATTTGACATTATACATCGGCTTAGTGTAATAACGGAATAAGTCCTTCTAGATTTTATAGCAGTTAATCAGTTATTTCAGTGACAAAATTATATCAAGATAGAAAACCGTTCAAACTTAGACTTGATGATTAGAAAATACATGTAACACTGAAATATAAACATAAGGTAAATTTGAAATGTACAAATCTATGATATAGAAAAATTCTATCATCCTGAAAAAAGTAAAATCATTTAAATGTACTCAAAGAAATGTTTTGAATTTTAATTTTTGAAAACTCCTAATGCCAGAAAATTACTGTGTCCAGTTCAAATGATATTAGAAAAGTTCACTGGTCTAGATTTAGTTTTTTCTTGTACTTGCAAATATGAGATAGTTAAAAAATTTGAAATTGCAAAAACCAAATTGATCTTATTTTGCAACAAATTGATACACATGATATTTATGAATCAATTTGTTTGAGTAATGTATTATGCATCAAAAAGTAAAGAAGCTATCAGATTTTTCCTTAAATATTATTTAATTGTCTTCAAATATTACCATTAATTTATTGATACATTTGTTTTTCCTTTTTCCCCCACTTGCACAAGTTTTTGAGTTACTGTAATAAAAGGGGCGTCTGTGGCCAACTGGTTACGGTCGTTGACTTCAAAGCATTTGCCCCTCACCACTTTGGATTCTTTCATGTGAGGGACAACGTTGGTTGTTCTACTCTGGTGCCCGTTTGTGCCTGAAGTAATGCCCAGAAGGGCACCTGAGGTCTTCCTCCACCAGTAATGCTGGAACGTCGCCATATCACTTATACTGTGTTGGTGTGATGTAAAAACCCAATAAAAAAACAAAACTGTAAAAAAAACTATTGGCAGGTTGCACAGTGAGAGCCCTAATGTAAATCATGAGAAAAATGTACAAAAATTTAATAAAAGAAAAGTTATTCACAATTCAAGAAATGTTTTCCATGTTGTATGCAATTAATGACTGATTTTGCAGTTTTTACCACCATATTTCTTAAGACCTCAACAGACGGAAGGATTTTGAAGTACAACACCAATTAAAACTAAGATGTACAAGCAAATCTTAATGTGTGAAGGCTACTATTTCTTGAATTCGTTAACCTTAAGTCTAGATGTAAGGGATAGGACATGTTCTATTTTGAAAATCTTATCATACAGATTTCTACAGACCTCCCACAATGACAAGTAACAGATTACCAAATTATCTCCTGATAATTGGTGTAATGGATGAAATATAGTTGAACATAGTTGAAAGATGGGGTAAAAATGATGTTGAAAAACTCTTCAGGAGACCCAAAGTTGTGGTATGTTCGAATCCCAAATTGTTCTGAAAATGATTATGTCACGGTATTGAACTGTTCTCTAATCAGATGATGTAGTTTGTAGGCGCCCAGATAGCTCAGTCAGTAGAACCGCAGTACGGTATTCCGAGGGTCCCAGGTTTGAGTCTCGGTCAGGCTGCACATAAAAGAAAATTTAACAATTTAAAAAGAAAATGGAGGCGTTTCAATCATTACTCATGGAGAAAAAATATTTAGTGAATAAAGTATGTAAGGGTTCAATTGGGAGAGAATTTTTTTTAGGGAAACCTGGGATGATTCTACAATGCAGAATTACGGTCTGAATGCAAGTGTTGTATTGCTTTGAAAATTGTACATCTTATCTCTAATTAGTGTTGTACAACTAAATCCTACCGTCTGTTGAGGCCTTAACAGGACTATGACAAACACAGTAAAGGCTATTTTGGGCTTATTTTGACATATATTTTGCTATTTTTCATAGATGGTAAATGCCGTTTGCAATGCTTGTTCACTTGACAATATTGTACTTATAAAAATCATTTTAGGAATTTTCATGAATATTAGCACGAAACTGGAGGCATGCTGCTTTAAGGCATTTTTATTCTCATTGCAGAAAGTCAACCATGGAACAACAGGAACTGAAAGACACTGTATATATGAGACCGCCTCCTAAAAAACGTACTAAAGAAATACGAGAGATGATGAAAAATGAAGAAGATGGCAAACTTAGAGGTAAAGAATCTTTTGAAAGTTCCAAGACTTCAGCAGATGGAGAGTTAGATAAAAAAGAAGTTGAGAAGGAGAATGCCACAAAGAAAGTTAAGAAAAGCAAAAGGAAAAGGCCTAAAGTGAAAAACGATATTGTTATGGCAAAGGTTTATGAAATAGAGAAACTTGCGGCTACAGTAGATGCCGTGAAGATTTATCGATGTGCATTTTGCTCCGTGGAGTTCAAATTTGCTAAACGCGCTGTTACTCATTTAATCGGCACCCATGATATTGATTTGGATGACACACCAGACTATGTGTCTGTCGAGAAAAAGTCCAAGAATATTAAAGATTTACAGGAATGTGATATTTGTGGATTCCGACCGAAAGAATCAGGGACATATTACATTCATTATCATAAATACTTCCGACATCAAATCCCGCTACCAAAAGGTTGGCATGCATATAAATGTGATCTTTGTCAAAAAGAGTTCTTTACAAAATTTCAATTACGCGAACATAAACTTATTCACTTTGAAGATAATCCATTCGTTTGCGAACAATGCGGAAGTGGATTTAGGTCTCGAACATGCCTTAACAGTCATGTGTTCCACAAGCACAGCTCCATACGCAAACACAAGTGTCCCGACTGTCCAAAGACATTCAAAACGGCAACTCAAATGAAAGTTCATCAGCGTGTACATACTGGGGAGAAGCCATTTTTGTGTCCCGTGGAACTATGTAATTATCGTAGCACAACTCGTGGAAATATGAAACTTCATTTAAATAGCAAGCATAAACTAACTCAAGCCGCAGTCAAAAGCCTAATGGAGGCACTTGAGGCAAGTGATGTTAATGCTGACCCGCTTATATTTGAAGAAAGTTTGGAAAGTGAAGCAAATAAGCAAACTTTACCAACAGAGGCTGCAACGGAAGCTGGGCCTTTTGATATTTTAGTACAGACTGCTACACTTGAAAACAACAATGACGTTACAGATAATCATAATCAATATATGACCAGTCAAATGGAGGTCATGACTCAAGACAATGTGATGGTTTCTACCTACAATCCTTCAGCGTCTGGCAGCAATCCCATTCTTTTGAATGCCCGAGATTATTCTTTAGTAACACAAGCTGCTGTACAGAATCAAGATCTAGATATGGTAATACCAGAGGATAACCAAATGATGGAAAACCAGAATATTCCACGTCACGTAGAAATGCTGATTCAGGACGCACATCAGTTTATGCAACATCAAGAGAACCCGAACCAGGGTCAATATGTTCAAGATTATCAGGCTAATACGGAGAATGAAATTCAAAACTTAAGAAGCCGGTTACCGGAACAACCGTCACTTAGTCAGACTTATGAAACACCAAGTGGTACTATCAGTTCTCGGTTTTCTGATAATCCTCAAGGTCACATGACACATAAGATACTCGATCCACACTCGAAAGAAGCCAGAATGATGATAAGAGAAGCTTTTGAAGGTCATGGAAGTAGGTCACTTCTAAAGTCAGCCATTTTACATGGGAACCAGGAGAATCAAAGGCTTGAGATTGGAGCCCGGCATTTGCCAGATAATTCAAACATTTCGGAATCAAACTCAAACTTGTTAAATGAAGCTGAAAAACTTGTTATAGATTTACATGAAAGTGGAAATCATTCTATCCCTCTGAATCAAGAAGATGAGGTTGTCCAAAGGTTAAGGTCACAAATTCAACAGTTAAGAGACAGCACAGAACAATACAGGGACAGTTCTATACCCATTGCTCTTTTCAGAAATGAACACTCAGTTCCGGAGATCCTGATACAAAACATCTCTTCACAGCAACAGAACATGGAACCATCCCATTTCCCAGCATACCATCATGCAACTGGTTCCCCTCCAGCTTATAACTCCTCTTCACATGGTCTGATAAATTTGCCAGTTTCAGATATTGAGACACAGTCTAGTGTGACCATGACCTCTGTTTCCCAAAACGAAAGTCAAGGTCAAATTCATTCCCTGCAGTCATTGCAGGGTCAAGGTTACACACCAGTTGCCTCTCAACCAGCATCTAGTCAGTATGGATCTGATGGGACACTGTATCAGGGTTATTACCAGGAACATTATGATATTGAAAATTACTGAGGAAATAAATAAAATAATTAATTGGAAGTATTTTTTTGAAAATCGTGATAAAATTTAATATGAAATCTTTGCATGAAGTCTTTGTTAATAGACAGTTATTTGTATTTCATATATTTTGCTTAGTAATTTTAATTACAATGTACAATGAATTTGCTCAATTAAGTATAATATTTGTATAGAAAAAATATGGATGAGTTTGTATAGTGATACTGATTTCAAGACTTAGGCCAAGGCTTTTAAATGAAATGAGCAGCATCAAGACAAAACCAACATAATGCATTTGCGACCAACCAGCAGTCTGATCAGGATCCATGCTGTTCGCTTACAAACCCTATTACAAGTAGAGAAACTGATAGCGAACAGCATGGATCCTGTTCAGACTGTGCAGAAGCTTGGATGGATCCATGCTGGTCGCAAACGCATTACTTTGGTTTTGTCATGGTGTGGCTCAAATGTAATTAAAGCCATGCTTAGTCTAATAAATAATTCAAAATTATACCAGCATCATAAAACCAGTGGTTCGATTGAAATTTCTTTTGTCTATGGCGGTGGCACGAAATACCCAAATATACCCAAATACACCCAAATATAGCAATACTTATTTTTGTTTTTATAAAATATAGATTATAATGAGAAATAAATAAATATTTATAAAATAATATGACTTAGCCTGCTATAACTTTCATTCATTCCGTTGAAATGGGCAGTTAAGATGTTGTAAGAAAATAAAGTTCTGACATTTGCTTATCTACTATAGGTTCTTTATGAATATACTTGCAATTTTAAATCAAGATATAATATTTGTTGTCTACACTTACATTTTTAAGGTGTAATTTTGTTGAAATTTCATATCATATACAAGTGTTCATGTTATTTTTTTTAATTAATAGCTTTAATGGAGTACATACGGAATATTATGTTGTAGTAGCTTTCTGAGGCTTTGTATTTTTCTACGAGCAGCGGTGGAAAATTGATATCTCGCGAGACCGAAGGTCGAGCGAGATATCAATTTTCCAACGTTGCAAGTAGATAAATACATAGTCTCAGAAAGCTACTACAACATAATATTCTTTTTATTATATACCTGTTCGTTTTATTCAGAAAATTAAATGTAGTTGTCAAGAAATAAATTCATGACTGACGGATGAATACGTAATTCTTGCAAACTGGCCACGCCTTTAATATTTTTGGTTCCCGTTTCCAAATGCAACGTTATACAAAGCTAAGATCGGAACCAACGTCAAAAATAGTCCGGTACTTCCATATATGGTACCGTATTTGTCACTAACATAATACGGAATTTTCTATCCGTTGAAGCGTATTTGCACTTCCATATTTGCGTGTATTTTAGGGAGAAAATTTATAGGTATATAATAAAATCATATATACTGTATTTTGGTTCAAAATACAATGATAGGAAAATGTATATTTGGGTATGTTTGATTATATCCTAGTGAAAGTGTATATTGTATTCATGATTAAAACAGCATTTTTTCAGTATAAAACTTTTATTTATAGTATAATTGGGCAATATTTGGGTATATTTAGGCAATATTTGGGTGTATTTGGCTATATTTGGGTATTTCGTGCTGCCCGTCTATGGGCAGATGATAAATATTGGTTGCTCATAATGCAAGCTCTCTTCATGTATCTAGAGGTAATATGGTTTGGCTAGTCACTTAAGGTCAAGGTAACACTTTTTGTCTGTTCTACAACACTTTACTTAAAATAAATTCCAAACTTGAATTCCAAAATTAATCCCACAGTTATTACTGGCCGAAAACAAATAACGTTTTTTTTTTTGTTCTATTCACTTGTTTCTTGATTAAGTTGGTTTACATGTATAACACACTTTAAAGGCACATTATGCCTCAGAAATTCATATTTTCTGAAACTAAATTCTTTAGAAATGTCAAACATGTGTTTAATAATGTTTCATTAATGAATTAAGAACATGTCAGGTGTTTAACAACTGAAGAAAGTCAGGCGCTGAATGAGCAGTAATGTGTCATTGAGGTAGAAAAATGTAAACACTTCCATACAAAATACTAATTCACTATAATTATACCAAAGGCCAACACAGCATTTTTGGAACTGTAACAATTAAGATACCAGAAATAAAGTTTCTGAGAAATGAAACTGATAGGATTTCTGAGGCATAATGGGCCTTTAAAAATAAAACTGATAGGATTTCTGAGGCATAATGGGCCTTTAAAATCACCGATTCAGTGATAACAACTAGTTCATGTTAATTTATTTCAACATTTACTACAGTGTAACCTCCGCAGAGTGACCCAACTGTAGACCAATAACTTTGATCAAATATTCCGGAAATTAAACTTAACACTGAATTCAACCTCTCTTAAGCAAAACCTTTGATCAACAACCATAGCATTTGTCTGTAAAAGGGTGATGCTCTGCAGGGGTTCTGCTGTATATGTTTATATCATGTTGAATATTTATTTATTTATTAATTATGTGATTAAAATTTGGGGAACAATTTCAAAATGTGAAATGTTGTGATTGAAAGTTTTAGTTAATTTACTATTTTACCTTTCGAAATTAAGGAGCTTTATGAATATGTCCCCCAGACTACTGTCAAACTTTTTGTTCATATGACACAGTTTATCAAATGTTGTGGGGATGCTCTGTTGTACTTTCCTACAGGGTCATTGATCATTTCCAATACTCTTGGAGTGCACTGCTTATATTAAATTAACTGTTAAATTTCCTTAATGTACATGTCCAGCTTCCGTATTTTGAACTGTTTGTTACCAATTTCTGGGATATGAAATATCGGTCCATCAACAGTATTGAACCTCAGGTCAAACTGCACAGCTGTGAGGACTCTGGCGTCCTGGCTGTGTACTTGTGGCAAGGGACAATCAATATCAGGCCCAGCAGGTAATGGGTTAAGCCAGTGCTAGTGGGCATGAAAAAAACATAATCATTACCATGTGTTTAATTATTATTGTATTATTAATGTTTATATATGCTTTTTTTGGAATTTCTAAATGTATTCTAATTTTATTATGACTATTTATTTATGTTCTTATTTAAAGATGCATTTTATAAAGATATGAAACATGGAAGATGTTGTTTTGTTATGTTTTATAAATTATTAACTAAAGTGACCTTTAAATTATGTGATGAATGATTAAAGGGACACCACTGAGGTTTTTTGACATGACTGAAAATATCTTTTAGAGATTAATATGCTATATGGTGTAGGTCTAGACCAATAACTTGTGTGCAAAATTTCAGATTATTTGATCACTCTGTTTTCAGTGAATAATTTATTTTAATTGTGAAAAAATGAGGCAAAATCTAGATTGTTGCAACAATTTTCACCCAAATCGAGCTTTGGAATAGCACAAAGTACGGTCTGAGTATATTTCTTAATAATCTTTTGCACATTTTTCTGTTTTAAGTTCCCCAGGTAAATTACATAAGAAATTCAAATTTTATGTTTTTAGGCCTTTGGACCTCAGTGGAGTTCCTTTAAATATTATGCTAGTAATTATGCTTTGTGGTGATTATGACTTAATTGCTATACAGCCATTGTGGATCCAGATCAGCCTGTGTCTGATATGCATTTTGTAACTGACCAGTACTGGTGCAATCTGCGTAAACCTTGTTATGACCCTAATAGGGTTCAAACCGGTAGTCAGACTATTCTCTCCCTTACCAATTCCTCCCCTGACGTTTCCTCCCTGACAGTTCTCTCCCTATTTTGGGGGAGAACTGTCTGCATATTTGCAAATTAGAAGACAGTTCCTCCCCAATCTTATCTTTATAATTACATTATTATTCCCATTCTTATTTTTATAATTACATTATTATTAAAGTATTTAGATGATAAATAAATGGGTAAATTTATTATCAATTGATTATAAATTAGAAAAAAATAGATTTTAGTGAAGTGTTTTACAGTTTAGGTGTTAAATAAATGGGTATGTTTATTATAAATTGATATAAATTAGAGAGAAAAATACTTTAATGAAGTATTATCAATTGATATAAATTGATGTAGAAAAACTTTTTTTAACATATAATAATAATTGATCAATGATGATATTAGTTAATTATTATGATTTTTTAATTAGATTTAATGTATACTTTTTAACGTGTTTAGTCATTGAAAATAATTAATGAATAATTTACTTGATTAGGATAATCATAAGATATTATTTTTTTAATATTTTTTTTTTTAATAAATAAAAATGAAATTTATAGGCAAAAAATGATTAATAAATTTTAATTGCTAATTTTTTGTATAATGAAAAAAGGAGTTCAATACACACATGTATGCATTAAGTTTGCTGTCAGTGATAATTGAGGTGTTTATTAATTCATTACTCAAGAATCAAGGTGTTGATTAGATTAAAATAGCTGTGAAAAGGTGTTGATGAATAAGTATTATATTAGTTAATTGGTATTATATATTGTTTCAAGTTAATGACTACACGCTTTTAAATCAATTTCGTAAAAAAGTAAATGTGGAATGTGTTTGCATACCAGTTGTTGTTTATTTATTTTCTAGAACATACTTGTTTCCACTTCATTCACTATTTAACAAATGAATGAACATCAAAAGCTAGACCTTAACATAATTACAGGTGTATATCAATCACTGTCCAATGATCTATATCTCTCACAATAAAGGTGTTGATAGGATTAAAATACTGAAAAAAGGTGTTAAATTTACAAACACTTTTCAGCTGATAAATATAAAACATAAAATGCAGTTAATACCAAACACATTCTATCTATCTATCTATCTCTGGATACTGCCAACCCCTCTTACGAGTGTTAAAGGCAGGAATTTAGTGCACGTCGGATTGTTAGTAAAAGGTGAAGAGAAAAGCTAAAAAGAAAAGTCCAAACATTGACATGCTTGGAAGGTGAGACTGAGAATGTATTCTAGTCATGGTTAAAATGTTAATAGTGAAACAAGATGATAAGAGATAAAATAGTTTAAAAACACTGGGAGTAAGACTAGTACTGCAAACCCACCACTGCCTGTTTGAACTGACTCAGGTTGGGCAGGGTGGCAATGTTACTCTTCATTAAGAAATATTATTAGATTAAGTCAAAACTAAAATGATAACTCATAATATAAAAATAAAATTGGGGGAGAACTGTCTGCATACTTCAAATTTGGGAGAGAACCGTCAGGGGAGGAAACGGTTAGGGAGAGAACTGTCAGGGGGAGGAACTGGTAAGGGAGAGAATAGTCTGTCATTCGTTCAAACCAACAACCCCATGGTTTAGAAGCGAACACATTAATTAACCATGGGTCACTGCTTTCATTATGCGGATGTCATGAAAT